TCCCGCTGATGGATACGAAATTGAGAGGACGGAACAAAACCCAAAAAAAGCATCCATGAAGATTGTCTCTTGTGGTTCTCTCTCTCTGTCTCTCTCCTTGCTGCACCACCAAGTTTCGTTCGGCCCCCATGTTACCACACCCATCGGGCGAATACACTCTCTTGGAACTAGCAGGCTAAGATGATCTCAGGTGCCTTGCCGGCTTGTGGTACGGAGTACGTAGCAACGGCGTAAGGCTGATAGGACCCTTGAGAAATAGGAGAACTGGCCTGCAGGGAGAATTATTCAGAGTTTGATTACTAGTATATCCTCACACCGAATGGATAGAAGCTACGAAGCCGTAATCATTGCTTCATTCCCTTCCCATGCTCGCCCAAACCACGTTCTGCGGACAGTTTTAAAATGAGCATCCTCTATGTAATGACGAAGGCCACCTTAGACCGTTCAATATCTAAGACAAGCCGTCGTGCCGGACAAGACCCCACGTTCTTTTGTCCCAACTCCGTCGTCTGAACCATCTACGGATATTGACAGGCAAGGGCCTCAAGGCGGACTCGATGAGGGGCTAGGGAAAATTGGCTTTCTGGGTGCCCGGACACGGATATCGCACAATCCTTCTCCCGCTTCTTCTCGAAACTCGGCGGAACTTGGAAGCATAATGGAAGCAATAGAACAAGATGAGGGCTGATTTCACCGCGCCGCAATCCTTGTCTAGGAGCCTCGCGGAAGCCAACTTGAAGGTTCCGCTCCAAACGTTTCAACCACGCACGCCTCCATCCTGTCTGCCGCAGACTGGCACCTGTCATGGGGAGCTGCCCACAATCTGCAAGCCGCGCGCTGCGAGACTGTTCCCCGAGGTTTCCGCCGTTGAGGCTGCTTCGTTTCTCACTGTGCCCCGGGCATGTCACCTTTCAGAGTCGTCGACACGTACCGGTGTCCCTGTCCAGACCGCGTCGGATGCTCTATCCCGTAACGGTTTAGGTGGTGTAGTTGTTCGGCACTGCTGCTATGTCTTGGTTTGCTGCCCATTCTTTAGAGGTTCCCCGGAGCGGGCGGACGGGACAGACCCTGCCCGATGGGTAGCTCCTCTGGCACTCGGCCGAGTCGTCTGTTCCTCCACCACGCCACCATCATGCCGGATATTGTGACGCTTCCTCACAAAGTGTAACTTTGTGAACATTCGTTGTGATATTTGCCTTCTTCTTGGCGGTTGACCGTCGTTCTCGTCGGCTTTTCCTGCATGGTCGGATCGCCTAGCAAATGTACCGTATGCGAGTCACGGAATGTCCAACACAATCTGACCGACATGGATCAGGAGCAAAGTGGACATCCAGCACAGCGACTGGATCCCCATTCGGACCGTTCTGGCTCTGGACACACCCCTCGTGCATCCAAAGGCAATCCCATCCCGTACTTGGCTTTCCCCCTTGTCCATCCAGCCACGCTCGACAGCGTGCCCGAGATCTTGGGGGCGAAGGCAGGAGCCCCCCCTGAACGAACGATTCCAGGAACCAGTTGCGCGAAAGGGAACAACCGAGCGTGACAGATGCTAGCTCCTAGCGCTAGGCGCGTGGTTCGTTGGCACGAGTTCGGATCCGAGGCAGACACAGCCCCAGGATGCAGGGCGAGCCATGCGGCCTGAAACCACCAGTGCGCCAGTTGTACGGATAAACGTCCCCCTTCGATACTCAAAGAAAATGAAGGTTGGTAGAAAGTCCAATAACTAACTCTCTGGAGCTCTTAGCCAGCAACAGCCCCTTTCATGTCAAGCTTGAGATTTTGGTTTGGGTGAATAGACTGTATTCCTTTGAGGGTTGCAAAAGGCTGGACGGCATGTTGGGGACAGGCCTGACAGGATCGAATAGGGTAAGGCAAGACTTGGCGTGGGTGACGGCTTCCTCGGTACGTTCCTGTTCTAAGGCCTGCGATATTATCGAGCCAGGTGGCCACCGCTAGTTTTTTAGCATGTGAATGATGACACTACTGGCTTGCTCACCCCATTTTATGACCAGCTCCCCTGCTCACCGTGGACTTATGACACTGCCCATTTCGGTTGGCTGGTAAAAGGTGGCTCTGCTTGCATTCCATTTGCTGGGAGACTGCCGATGCCAGCATCTCCAGGACGAGAGTGGAGGATGGCACGCCGTGAGGGATGCCGAGGGAAACAGCAAGCTAATTCCCACCAACGGCTTGAAGATGGGGGGAAGTTGGGTCTTCCCTTCCAGACCGATGTGCAACTTCCATAAGACTACCAATCCTTGTCCGCAAAGCTATACGGCGTCGACCTGTTGGCCCTTGGTTGGACATAGAGTCGTTGGCGAGTCCTTTGAAATGGACTTTGCTAATAGGAGCACGTTCCAGGCTCATTCGCGAGACCGTGGGGATATGGGTGAATTACCCAGAGTGAAAAAAGGGCGCAGGTTATGGTCGCCATCAGACCCCGCGATCTCCACAAAGCTATCGAGTCCTATGAAGACATCGGCTTCTCATCATCCCATCTCTTCTCGCCCACAAGGACAGGCTGCAGGCCATTCGGTTGATTCCTTCTTATTAGCTGCGGCGCGAGCTATGTATATTAGCTTGGCTGTTGGACAGGGCCAAGGCGTCTGTCAAACGACACCGGTCCGCCACCGGCCTATTCAATTTCTGGAGGTTTTGATCAACCTAGAATGAGGACGTGTCCCCTCAATTTCGCCCAAGGATTACCCCGAAATCGAAGGCTTGCTCGAAGTGGTGCTCACTGATTGGGCCAGTGCCAGTGTGTGTAAGGTGTGTAAGTCGCTCCACGGTCGTGGTCTTGATCTTTGACAGGCCATTCCGGTCCAGGTGGCTAGGTACGCTTCTTGGTCCAGGAGCTCGAAATTCCCCGCGAGAAATGCGGCATAGCGTACCTAGCTTCAGCATGCGCTGCCATTCTTCTGGATGTGTACAGCAGTATCATGCTAGGTCTGCGCAAGCTGGCGCACCAGGTGCAGACAATGAAACCGACGTGGCGGCATGGATGATATATCCGACATTAGATGTTGTAGTTCTTGGTACGAGGACTTGTCCTCGTCTTAGTGGCGCGATGGCACAATTTTCAGTGCCTCCAGGCACGAAGATACAAGTTGGTCGGACATCTAACATCGGAAATCCGCAGCGCAACGAATGCCATACTGTCCGGGCTGCGGGTTCTTGGACCTTCACAATCCGGCGAGGCCGTTGGAACAACAGCGTGGTCTGACGATGTGGCCAACAAGCTCGCCGCATGAGACGGTTGGTCTGCAGAGTAGACACAGAAACACGACGAACAGTATCCGTCAGACGCTTCGTGTGGCACTGTGAGCCTAAAAGGGCATGATGACGAGGCGCCCGGTGAGACGAGTAGCAGAATGAGTAGTGTGAGGAGCAGCTTGGCCGAGTGTCATCTGGATTAGCGCCGTCAGTGCGTCAGGGCGCTGATGAGGCCAGAACCTTCGTCGAAGGCCCGAAGAAGGGTTCGATTGGGTGGCATGGCGGGATGGTTGGATAATACTGGATCAGGAAGTGATTTCGAGGTCCCAACTTCCAAGTGTTCAGCGCCGAAATTACATCAAAGCCCGGGGTTCGTCGACGGCAGTGCGTAAAGTAGGTACTAGGACGTGCCTACGCAGCCCGTTGGCAGGTTTCGATGTTTGATGAGATTCAGATATTGATTGATCAACGAGAGTCCGCCGGCTAAGTTGGAGTGTTTTATTCAGTGTGGGTGACACCGTGACAATGCTAAACGCCGCGACGTCGTTGCTTTTCGATGCTTCTCATGAGCGGCACTTCAAGTTGAGTGTCATACGGCGGCAGGGCCTGGAACTCAAGGAATTGGCTCAAGAAGCATTCTAGGATGGCCGTTCCACGACGGACCTTGTTTTGGGATTCCAGAACCGAACCCCAGCAAGCAGAGCATGGTGGTGCAGCTCCAATTCCCATGCGAGCGGCACCAAGTCAATCCTGGCCAAGGGGAGGCCCCTGGCAGTCTAGAGGCTAGAAGCTAGAGGCTGGAGGCTGGAGCTGCTGGGACTCGAGAGGCGAGGGGAAGACAGTGTGGATTCGGCTACGGGGGCTCGTCGGCAGGGTATTGAAGCCAGTCGAGTGTTGGGGATACTGGTGTCTTTGCGTCTTGCAAGCTGGGTGAGGCCGGCGCGAATAGGTATCCGTACTTGATGCCAGGTGGTGGTGGCTTGGTGATGGAAGTCGAATACTCCGTACGGAGTAGTAGAGGGACCTAGCAACTGCTTTGATCAGTTGGTTTGTGGGTGAGGGGAGCGGCACTGGGGGGTGGGAAGAGTTGAGGTGTGGTGAGGTGCGTTATCACATCTGAGATGCAGTGCAGAGTACGTACCTTACTGTACGGCGTGTGCCGTCCCCCTCCTCTCTGCAGTCCCTCGACTTCAAGTCACTGCAGGCCCAGGCAGCGAGTACATTCGAATACCTTGCGAAGATGTCCGAACACTGCCTTAGCTTACTCGAGTCGAGGTATAGATAAGTGACGGCCATGGCTGCAGCAGTATAGTGAAAAGGTACCTATACTAGCAGCAAGTAGCCACTGACAGGCACCGGACATTTTGTGTATCCGTGTATTCCATTGCAATCACCGAGAAATGCTTGCAGAACGAAATGGAGAAGGGAAATGAATAGTAGACATACAGAAACAATGAAATAGATGGCGACGGCAAAACCCAGGCCGGCCAGAAGAGTGGCAGGTTGAAATTCTTAGCTTGACGCTAGAGGCAAGCAAGATATCTTGGGTGTGTAATCGACAAAAAGGCAGGTACGGAGTACGTAACCTTACCTATGACCAGGTAAGTATGGGCACCTAAGTAAAGGTTCAATGTACTATGTAGATAAAATGCCTATACAGCAGGGAGGCACCTTCCCACACTTTTCCTAACGAAGGAAATGCGGCACACATGGCAAGAATACTTGGTGCAGACGGTGTCATCGGATGGAGGGAAGTGCAAGGTACGAAGGTACGAACCCAATGATGATTACCCAAGCATCAGGATCACCTCGAAGGACCTAATATCCAGTGCGGCCTAGCTCCAAGTATCAGCCCCTGCAAGCTCTGGTGGACTGTGGACAAGCACGCACTAACGTACCCAGCCGGTGGAGGCAGTGGGCTAGGGTAAGTACGAGCCGGCCTGTAATGATAAGGTAAGCGGGCAGTGGAGATGCCAGGGATCGCACCTGGCTGTAACCCACAACCAAAACTTCCTTTCGCGACTGCAACTGCGGTACCTTACCGCGGTACAAAGCGGCAGATACCGTGTCTCCGTTCCAATGGATCTTGACCATCTCCCATCTCCAACTCCCATTCCGACCACTCCCCATGCACCTGTCGTTGGCGTTGGCGTTGCTGTGCATCCCACGCCGTACCCATGCAAAACCAAAGGGCCTTTCGATGGATCATTGACCATGGCATGGCATAGCGCTGCAAATCCGTAGGAGCTTCCAAGATACACACCCATGGGCCATCCATGGCCCACGACTGGCTCTCTGCACATTTCTCGGGCTATCTCGTCCTACAACCTTCCGCCGCCGCTCGACGTCAGCACTCTGGTTCGGTCCGCTTCTCGGTCTCCTGGACACCATTCGAATCGGCTCGACATTGCAGCCAGGCGTGCGTCGTGCCAGGCTGCCAGGGCCTCTCCAACCCCGGAGATGGCTTGCTGTCGATCAAATTTTCAGACTAAGGCAGGAGAGATTCGAGCCGGTGCAAGTGCCTCACCACGCCATCCAAGCTCAACAAGACAGCGCTCGGCTCAGCTCAAGTCTTCCGACTAGAAGCCTTCAGAGAATCTTCAGCCATTCCACCGGCCACCTGTCATTGCCATTTTGGCAAAGGTGCGACGACCGTCTTTTGCTTCGCCTCCGCCAGCTTTCGACGGTGCTGCTGTCTCATCCCGTTAGCACGACGGCAGACGGGACAACGTCTGCCGAAAAGATAGCTTTGAATGCTTGGTCCTCGGTTTGCCAGCCTAGTCTCTCGCCCTAAGGTTTGATGATTAGGTATGCCAGCTACTCTGCGGCACCCAGCATCATTGACGACGATCCAATATCTAATTAATCCAAGCCAAGAGAGAAGAAGAGCCGAAAACCGCGTGCATGGTGTTCCGCGCCTGGCAAATCCCACCAACATCGTGGACGATTATATGTGTTACTATCCTTCTGCGGACTCCTACCCAGCTCACACAACTTCAAAGTTCAAACACTCTGTGGTGTGCGTCTGCCTTTTGCCCAGACCAGGGCGGTCTGGGGCCGACAGAGCGGGCTCCCGAGCAGAGCTTCTGCTTTAAGACCCTCGCAGCCCTCCACCTTCCACGTCCCCCGTTGTGGCCGAACGGGGTCGGTGGACAGTTGAGGTCGACTCCTTCGAGAACAAGACTGGATGATGCACTTGACCCATCAAGGCAGGATAAGACGGGGTCAAGCCTCAGGTACCGTCTCCGTACCCGTCCTCAATCTTATGTGTCTCCCAGCAGCCCCCTTGCCCCCCAGGACGGTCAGGAGTATGAGGGTCCCTTTGGGCCTTGGGCGAGACTGGGACCACCAACCCCACGAGAGATGCCAGGCTGAATGGCGCTGTGGATGAAGAAATTGGTGGACTTGCCCTACTGGGCAGGGCAACAAGGCGGGTAAGGTACGGCTACAGCCTACGGACGGGTACGGGTACAGATACCTTGCCTGCCAATGCTAATCCGCCTGCCTGGTTTGCTCTCTCGACGCTAGAGACTCCTTACAAGGTGGTTATTACGGAGTACCACCTGGTTCGACTCCTCAAGATGCGGATCATCTGGTCATTGTCGTCGTGTGTGCTTACTGCGGCAACAGGATGGATACCTACGCGATCCATTGGCTTAGCTGAGCTCCCAGCCTGTCAGCGGAGACATCGAGGCATCCGGCACATGGATGTTGGCACTAAAAAGGGCGTGAAGTACCATGACACCCGAGTGGGAGGGAGACTGGGAGTGCGAGGAATCTCCGCCAGGGCTGGAGCCAGGAGCAAAAGGAAGCGCGATGCAGAAGTCGTACCTCAGGCAACTTGCCTCATTTGGTTGCACCTCGGTATCTTGGGAGTTGGAACTTGATATCAATATCGAATGAGCATGGCCACTTATTATGATGACATGGGGCATTGACGATTTTGTGCCCTTTTCGCTGTCTGGGTGCTTAATTCCATGGGCAACCCTACCACGCTCGCGCTATTCCCTACCGCCATTTCGAACATCTCCCCCGGCCGTCCCCCCGTTGCCTTTCCGCTAACAAATCCCCTCTTTGCCGCTGGCACGCCTTTTTTTTTTTCTTTTTAACATTGTGGCTGGGCCCAGCCTATTGAGAAGTCTCTGAGCTTCTTGGGACGACGTTGGACGCAAAATACGGTCAGACTAGCCTCCCAGCTGTACAGGTAGAGGCACATAGGCCAGAGGATACTTTGGCAGCTTGGGGACGGCGGCGTATTCTCCATGCTCAGTTTTTGCGAATGCACATTCACAGTATACTTCCAGTGTGGAGCAATACTGTATTCGTGACACTGCCCTGCGTGACGATGACGACGAGGCGAAGGCCCATCAAGTTGCGCCCTTGGGCAGGCAGCTGGGCTCAAGTCGAGATCTTATACAGTGCATTCAACAGTGGCTACGTGCGAATACATGGTCATTGACGGTCTCCTTTCCCTGCGCTGAGTACGGATACAAGCCGTCCAAGGAGTCGACTCGGATTGGAAAATGGGCGCGCACATAGACAGGGCATCTCGGAATTCCCCTTCCACTGATGAGAGCTGGGACTTGGCCTCAAGGCTCGAAGGGCGAGGGGGGCATTGACGGAGGACTCGCGAGAGTCGACGAGGGCTTTCGGGCAGCGCATTGGTCGCATACACACCCGTCCACGGAATCCAATGCCTTTTGCCTTACGGGTACCTCTCACCTTTACTTCCGACAAGAGGTCATGTACCTTACATGCCTCGTGCTGGTCCCTTGCACAGATGCACTCAATCACTCACAGCAGCTCGCCGCATTCTGACTCGGTTTTTGCCTGTCAATGGATGGTCCTGGCGATTGAGAGTTGAGACTGAAGTCACCGACGACACATCGGCTACCGCCGCCGCTCTGATGTACGTTCCATCTCATCGACGATGAAGTACGGATAGACCGAACTGCTTCGACTCTCTTTTGCTCCTTGAAGACGGACATTGGCACAGATCATGCTTATGTTGCGGACTTTGGGCGGACGTGGACCCCTATCATCCCTGGGGGGCCCAACCCTCTTCTTCTGAAGCATTTGGTGCCTTGATACACTACGGCGTCCATCCTCGCTCTTGTGTCTGATGTGCCTAGAACGTCTGGTCTTGGCCCTGCCCTATCTATACCAGTCGATTGCTTGTCTCTAGCTCGAACACGCTCGCACTGCCCTACGACGTCAAGGAGAGGAGGCATGCTTGACACACATAGCACGGTACACTACTGAGTGGTGAGTACGAGAGGAGGTTGTTTTGGAAATGGTGGTTCATTTTATCAGCACTTCCTTGTCTGTGTCATGCCTCGAACCTCGCCCCCCGCCTTCCCCGTCCGACCCAAGAAAAGAAACAGGAGACATTCTATCCGTCTCTTGTTCTTCTGCCCGTTATTTGCTGTCTGTGTGTCAGCCCAGTCTCCTCATTTTTATTTATTTTTTTGACCTCGGTCACCCCTTTTGGCCACAATCGTCGTCGGCGTCTTCCAAGTATCCGTACGAAGTACTGACCAAGATGAAAGAAAGACGGACTAATAATACTACGGAGTACTTCTTCTTGTAGAAAGTACGGATACGGACGGAGTACCTCGGATTTAGAGAGACAGAGAAGGAGGGGGAAACGACTGTGCAGTGCGCACTAAGGCGGTGTTAATCCATGCCGGGTGGGAAGTATACTACCACGATTTTTTGGCTTGCGTAGAAAACCAATTCTTCTTCTTTGTCGACGCCATTTCCCGGGGCCCGGTAAGCCTGGGTCCAATTTCACACGGCCAGCATCAAAGAAGCTCTCAAACTTCAACCTGGCAAATGAGAATAGAAGGCAACAGCCGCCAGTCAAGTATCCGTGGACCGTAGGTATTTCGTACCTGCGTACGTATTCGTACCTATCTATGTGCTGGCCATGAGTCCCGAGTCCCGTCGAGAGTTGAAAGTTCGCATCCCCTGGCCAATCCTTCATCTCACTACCAGATTCGGCCTGCGACAGGGCATTTTACCTCTGGACTTGCAACGCTGCCCTGCATGCTGGCCCCCCCGCCAGCTCTGCGTCTCGGCCTGCCTTGTCTGGCCCCAAGTTACGGATATTCGTTCAGAAAGCAGAGCGCTATACGGATACTGCGTAGGCATTGGTATGGATACCTTCTCTGTGAGATGAGGTACGAACACCGCATCCAGCCATCTCTCAAAGCCGCAATGTACCGGGATCGCAATGGACATGATGCTGCACTGTGAGAGGCGAGCTTGCCAGAGGGGCAAAGAGGAGCCCATCTTCTTCTACCTCACACTAGTAAGTTGATGGGGACTCTGGGAGAGAGCAAGAAAGATGAGATCCGTTAGGGAGGCAAGAAGGCAAAGGCGGAGGAAGAGGGTAGAGAGACGGATGAGGTACTTGTTCCTCGTGCTACGGATGGCATGTCATCCTTGTACCTTTCATGTCTCCTCGGTCTCAATGGCGCTGGTGCTAATGCTTGCGCAGCTAGGGACGTACCTTATTACTGAGATGGCGCTGATGCGTCCTGCCCTGCCCTGTTCACTACCTGCCTGACCTTAGGTGAGGAACGGAGTACTGTTGTAAGGAAAGGTACTTGGTCAAGCTGGCGGAGAAGGAGGAGGAGAAAGTAAAGTGACCCCAGGCCTCAATGCTGAGCTCTTCCTGTCCGTCTGCTGCTGCCGCTCACGCCGTCGCCGCAATGCGCAACTTCGACCTCCCACCCTTGGCTCACGCCCTCCTCCACATCCGCATAGGAACACATTTACACACCCACACACCTCTCACACACACACTCTCTCTCCTTCTCTCTGTCTCTCAAACTCACGCTCTCTCTCTCTTCCCATTATCCACTCCACAATCCACACCCAAGGTCCCAAATTCCCAAGTCAAGTCTTCCCTCTCTCCAACACCCTTCGAGGACGCTACCTCACAACCACACTCACACTGCAACTACGGAGTACGGATACCTTACCTTCACGCAACCCTGTCCGCCTCCTGCAACCCTGGACACACACACTCACACGCATACGCACACACACACCTCTTCTCTTGCTCTCCTTCGTTGCCGCTCCTCTTCTCCTCATCCTCACCTCCTCACAGCACTGTCCACCTCTGTCTAGCCTACCCTGCCATCCTAGGCAGTCCTGGGTCCTGGCCCCCCTCCCCCATCGACTCCTGGTCGCATCCATCATCGAACATCGGTTTCCTCTGGGCCCCAGCAGCTCAGTGATATGACCCTGCCTGTGTGTACCCAGCCCAGATCTTGTTCCTTACCCCGGTCGCCTCCCCGTCTAGGTCTACCCACGTCAACCCTTCACGCCTCACGCCGGGACCTGTCGTCCATTCATAATAAGGCTTGACCTTCTCCCGCGTACCCCCCTCACCATCACCCACCAATCCGGACAATTCCTAGCCCAGCGCGCTCCCAGAGAGAGAAATTCGAGACACAACTCCCCTCTGGTACTTTCTTTTCCTACAACTTCCTCTTTTCCAACAAGTCTTTTGCACAAGACACGTCTGTCTAGTCGCCGACATCTCCAGCACTGAAGGACTCACTCAGAGTGAGAGTGAGAGCGAGCGAGCGAGCGCGAGTGAGAGAGAGCAAGAGCCGCCGAGTGCGCGGCCAGGTCGGGACGGTCGTCGCCAGCTACGCATACCCAGAACTCAAGCAACCGGCTTGAATGTAACCGCTTCTTTGACTCCGCTCTCCGTTCGAGGCTACTTCCACGACCTCACCGCTACCAACAAATCGACTCGTCACGCCCAAATCACAATGTCAAACGATCCCTCCGTGAGGCGCATCTTGCCTCAGAGCTCCCAGATGGGCAGCTTCTCTTTTGCGCCGCAGCAGTTCCCTCAACGGGAAACCCAAAAGAGTGCGCCATCCACCTCCACCTCTACCGCCCTCCGCTCCGGTTTGCCCACAACGTCTTGTCTAACCAAATGTGCCTTTCTGTAGATTATGTCTTCGTGGATGAACACAATCGCCATAAGCGATTGAAGGGTATGCTCACTTTCCCTTGGACAAATGATTTATGCGTGCAGTCTAGCTAAACTGATGAAATCAAGTGATGAGAGCTTGTGAAGGATGCAGAAGAAGAAAGATCAAGTGCGATGCGGCCACAACGAACACCTGGCCCTGCTCGGCGTGTATCAGACTCAAGCTCCATTGTGTGCGCCCCAATGGCCAGTACGATGGCACCTCGACCGACGCCTATGAGCCCGTCGGGGATGAGTTCGCTGCCGCCTCATCGCAACTGCAGAACAGCTTCCGCCAGCAAGTTCCTATGCAGCAACAGTCCATGATGGCAGGGGCCCAGAAGCCCAACCCTTCGATGTATGCTGCACAGGGCGCATATTCAGATCCCAACGTCTTTCCACCCGTCCACTACTCCGACCAGCAGGTCCACCAACATAACATGCACTACACCACGGTTTCTCCTTCTTCCTCTATGATGGAGCAGCCTTACACCGGTCACAACGTATTTCCAACGCCGCCTCTCCAGCAGAGTCAACGCCCAGATTCCCCTCCCGACACCTACTCCAATGACGGTTCCTACCAGCAATCAGATCTTGCTGATCTTCTGGGCTCCCTGAAGGTCAACGAAGCTGGAACAGGTAGGCCCTCTCTCGCAGCTTTCCGTACGTAGTAGAGTTACTGACGCGTAATACAGCGCCGTACTTGAGGAACAAGGCCTCTTTTCTGCATGATGAGGAGCCCGCCGTTGAGGATGAGGAGTACAAGACTCCTCTTCCGCCAATTATCACCGGACCAGGCCTCAAGATTCGCATCCCACCTGAACTAATGCCGGATGACGAGACGGTCATGCACTACTTTGATCTCTTCTTCAGCCACGTGCATCCCTACGTGCCTGTTCTCAGCAAAAGTGTCTTCTATCACCAGTGGAATACGAACAGAGAATCCGTATCGCCTCTGATTCTCGAAGCTCTTTTCGCCATGGGTGGAAGACTAGCCGACGACCCTGCCCAAGGGCAGCAGTGGCTCGCTTTGGCAACAAGTATGAAAACACTCGTCAGCTGGATAGGCAAAGGCTAACAACCATGACAGAGCACGCCGACTCTTTCATGGACGTACCGAGGCTGAGCACTTTGCAAGCCCTGCTCCTCATCCTGAAAGCTCGGGAGGCAGCACCAAAGCGCGGTTACTACTACCGCTCGTGGATGACGATTGTCCAGTGCGTTCAGATGGGTAAGGATCTTGGGCTGGACGAGCACTACACGGATCATCAAGCGGGAAGGCCGTGTGGCTCTTCTCCCTTGGATTGTCAGATGAAGAGTCGAATCTGGCAGTCTATCTTTGTGTGCGAAACCATGATTGGTTCTCCCCAAGGTTGGCACTTGGTCTTTCTCGACGTTTTGTGAGAATTTGCTAATTCCCTTAGGCCGTACTGATCTCGCCGTGGAGCTGGATTCCATCGATTTCAGCGTCCCACGCCCAATCCCTGGAGGCGACGACTCTGAGTACCACATCACCCGTAACTTCACCTATTTCGCACGAATTGTCCGCAACGTCAGCCGCATGAACACGGCCTATGGCCATCTCAAGAAGAAGAAGACGAAGGATTGGGGCGTCGATCCCGAGTTTGTGCAGCTCAACCCGGCCTTGAATGCCTGGTTGAATGATCTTCCAGCGGATTTGTCGGTTACTTTCCCGCCCGACGGCTCGCCGCCATGGCTTTCGTCACCTTACATCGGCAACCTGCATTCCTACTACTATCTAACCCTGATTCTGCTTCATCGACCGCAGCTGAATTTCCTGGACCCGAACGCGCAAGATGGACAATGGAAACAGCACATGATGATCTGCTACTCTTCTGCTAAGGCTCTATGCCGGCTCCAGGAGGCTGTTTTGAATTCATTCGGATTCCCTGGACTGCAGTGTATGCTTCGTGGGTTCAGCTTCACCGTCTACTGTGGACTGTGTTGCATTGTACTCCATCTGGTGGGTTATGATCTGCGATTCCCCGTTACTGGCTCTCTAACTTTTATGGTACACAGGTGGCCGTCGTCTCCCCAGACCCTGATCTGAACACTGATGCGAGAGAGTTCTTCACGAGACACATGCGAGTGCTCGAAAGGGTCATGTCGGTTTGGCCGATGGCCGACCTGCAGAAGCAAGTCGACGCGGTGCGCGAAGCGTTTTCTGCTGACGTCAGGAAACCCTTTGTCCTCAAGCCCAGCTTCCCTTACGGCAGCCCCCAATCATCCAACCATTCCAGTCCTCCAAGGGGTTACAGGCCGGGTATGGCACGCACTGCTTCCTTGGACCACCAGTTGGACACGCAGAACCTTCAACACTCCCAAGTCAGTTATACCAGCCACCCCATCACACCTCCTATTTCTGCCGGACCTGTGGATACCAAGAGTGACTCGCCTGCTATACAGTCACTCGTCATGATGGCAAGTCAAGGTTCCCAAGCGCCGGGAATGCAGCAAACCATGTCGTTGTCGGATGCGCCAGCGTGGAATCCCGCACGTATTTTTGAGTAAGTTGTTGTCGACAATCACATACTTCAACGAAGGCACCCGCTAATACATGTCTACAGACAATGGAACACGTCTTTCGGTACGCCTCAGGTCCAACCACAGCCTTCGACGCTGCCTCCCCAGTCCAATTCGCTTAGTGTTTCTCCGTCTTCAGGTGCACCCGAAGCCCCGTCTCTCCAAGACATTCAGGCTGTCAATGCTACTCTCCCAGTGGCCTCTCAACAGTTGGCGCAACAATACTCTGCAGCCCCCGTGCAGACTTTTGTCTCGCCGGCGATGTGGCAGGAGTCCGTGGCCAGTGTCTACGAAGGCGGTCTCAAGCGGGCCTGGGATTACGATGGCAGTGGTCCTATGATGAAACGGCGATGAGCCATTTCCAAATTGATTTTTGCAAAGCTACCTAACCTTCTTGTCGGCAACATCTACGGGATGTTTTACACCTTTGGTATAGCGACGACGATTTACCGGTTCATAACAACACTTGCCAGCCTATGGGGTGCCTCCGCGAACCGCCTCTGGACCGACGAATAGGTGCCCCTTTCAGCTACAGCGATTCACGTACATATCTTGGAATTTTCGCTTTCTACGGTCCTCGTTCGCCTTATACACGGTTTATTCTCGCGACGAAATACATGTACACGATTACGATGAAAATGAGGAGGAGGGGAACACAACGGAAGATCCATGTCGGGCGCCGGCGTCACTCATGCCCCTTCGGAAGCATGGCCCCCAGCCGGGAATGGGGCTCCCAAGAGGCTTTTGTTTTTTCGGGACGGTGCGAAGAAAGAGAGAGAGGGAAGGTTGGCGAAGCGGTGTCCTGGTCTGTATTTCTGGACTGTATTACTATATTTGGCATGTTGCCTCATGATGGAGCCAACGACGCGGCCCAATCCGGTTCGGCGTACGGACGGCGCTCACCCTGGCAACGCGAACGAGGAGTCCTGTTTGCTTACTATCACAATCATGGAAAGGCCCAAAAAAGTAACTGTAAGAGGAGAGAGAGAAGAGTTTCGTTGCTTCCATTGACTTGGACCGATCAATACGGACATGATACCACCTTGCGCGCGCATACAAATTCAAACCATCTAGCAATGTGAAGTGAATAAGACACGGTCAAAACGAGAGGCAACCCGCAGAAACGGGCATTCGCTGTATCGTTTGCTTGGCAAGCAAGGAGTAAGACGTTTGAAAGGGGGGTGAGACGGGAAGTCGACAATGGGTAGATCTGGGTGTGGTGTATGTACGTGAGGTGCCCGAGGCGAGAGAGCTCCTACCGGGAAGTCCCCAAAGCGGTCGCAAAGTCTCGCGATTGAACGAGTTGATTGGCCACGGCATCTAATGTTGACATGTTCACAGGGTTCATTCAGCCGCACGTTGAGCAAGACGCCCACCCCCAAATACACTTTGCATAAGCAGATGGTCTCAACTTCCTTTCCCAAAAAAAAAAAGACGTTTTCCCCTATACGCGGGTACGCAACACTCATACACCCACACACCACACACACCCTTAGGCTATCAGAGGGCGAGTAAAAAGGGAGCCTCCACTGGAAACAACGTTGAGCCTTGACGGGGCAAACGGGCTGACCGACAGGTTTTAAGGTGAAGCCAAGGTACGGAGTGTATATTGTCTCGGCGGTCGGCAAAAGCGTTTCTTTTGTCTTTTTTTGAGGCTACACAGCGGGGTGGTAGGTATACCTACTTACGTGATACGTCTGACCTCGCTTATACAGCAACAGCTACCTAGTACTTACGACTGCCCGTTTTATCCCACACGAAAAAAGTATTTACAATGTCGTCCTCGGCTATTCCGTTGGCCTCCCCCGTACCCCGTAGAGCACGCCGCACCGCAGACGGAGCCTGGAGATGAAGAAGAAGAAGAGCGACGCAACGGCGCGGAAGCCGGGAGTCGGATGTCGGGGCATATATTCGGAAAACTCTGGGTATGTAGTTTCGAGCCTCTTTTGATCGGCGAGAGAAAGTGTGGGGAGCAGTGACATTCAATGGGGGGACCCTTGAGCCAGGAGCCAGGACCCAGGGCCCAAGGGAGGAAGAGCATCGCTTGGAAACTTCAATGCGGTGAGACGGTTGAGTCGCAAGCTTACATCACCGCTGACGAAAACCGCATAATTTAGCTTCTTCTCGTCGTCTTCCCCTTCTGCTTCTGCTTCGCTTCGCAATGACGACAATTGCCGCTGTGGTTTGCCGTTGGTAGCAGTGAGCGATTGCCGGTTAGGTATGGCAGTGGAGGGTTTTGGCGACGGGTCCGGGGGGGTGTTCCTTTACGGAGTACACGCAGGAGGAAAGGTTAAATTTAACACAAAAAAAGTGATAGGCAGGGTCGAGAACAGTCCATGTTCGTCACTCATTTGAATGACGGGGGACAGGGAACGAGGACGGTGAGTTCAAAAATTTGAAGAGTCCTTGGAGAGAGACATCGCGTGGGTACGTGTACCAGATCGGCCAAGGAGTCGGGTTCACTGCAGTCTGCACCGCGCTGGCATTGCATGGATAGGTAGGTACTGAGTAGGGGCATGTAGTTATCTGTGCCTCGTGTTTCGCAGCCAGGACCGGGTTCGTTCGGGTCGGGTTCGATGAACTCTCCCAAAGTGATGGATGGGATGGATGGGAGCAAGCGGCGGGAAGCAAAGAGATGTTTGGAGCTGTTGGAGATTTGCCCTTGCCATACCTACCTACATCAAGTATGCAGTACGGAGTGTGGGAGCGAGTATCGTTGCAACCCCTTTGCCTAGGCCACGGGTGACGTTGTTTCGATATAAGGTCGCTATTAGAGTTTGGCATTGGCACGTTTTTTCTAACATTTGCAACGATGGTCGCCTACGAGTACCTAGTGTACCAAACCCCGTAAGGTAGTCTCTTTCTTTTGGCCGCGCAACGGCGGCCAGACCGGGTTCCTGTATCGCCGATGTAAGGTGTGAAATGCGCGGGAAAGTTGACGCAAGAATATGCGTGGCGTGCAGCGGTGAGGGGGGTTTGAATCCCTCTGAGAAGAGGGGTGTGCAAACTGCAAAGGGCTGGATGAAGAGAGGGGGGGAAGGACATTCCAAGGATGTGTGGATGTCCATCTCACATGCATACCGTCTGTGATCTGGGACATGCAGGTCCAATAGACTCGAATCTTGCTTCCATTTCTCATCGCATCTTTTTTTTATGTAAGGTAGGTAGACTGGGAAGGATTCTCATAGTCCACGGGTTTCCCCGCTTTTGTCTTTTCCGTCTTATGTTTTTTGACTGCGTACTCTTATACTTTCTTGTTGGGATTGAGGTTTCTCGGCGTGGCCGACGGTCAAGCTTGGTGATGTCGTTTTGGAATGCGTACTTGCATCCTTTGACGTGCGTCTTGTTGTTTCGGACTTTAGACATTGAGAGTGATGTTGCTCCCCCTCCCCTCCTTCCCTCCCTCGTGGGCTTTGCAAAACATGACACAAGCATAATGGCAAGTCACTCGAAGGTACGGTAGAGTTCCAAGACACAATTTCATCTCTACTATTGAGTCCCGATTTGCTTTACGGGTAGATTCGTGACTTACCCGGGCGTTGACAACCCGGTCTCCGAGTGCACACGTACTTGCATCGGGATGATAGGGTTGATCATTATGCGCTCTTCCTCATTCGCCTTTTGAATTTCAACATATTTTTGCAGGATGGTACCAGATGCGACTGCCGGATGCCGAGTTTTAAGAGTGAAGGAAAGGTTGCCCTTTCTCACAGGTAGAAGTACACGGTGAGGCAGCGATAATGAGGCATCGGCAATTCCAGAGATATGGGTAACTTGTTGGTTCCCGGGGGGCGGTGGACGTATGTACTGGCTACCTACCTTCTCTCCCACTGGCACCAACATAGAAGAGGGGGAGGGTGTGTGAGATTGTGTACGACGGAATGACTTCGGAGTTTAGTGGTAGGTGTATTTCGGGTTTTTACTCGGCGCCCGGATACAAATGGGTGTGGTGAGTTAACAGGTGCGGAGGCCGTCTTACGGCGGCGGATGACGGCGACGGCGACGGACGGACGGACGGACGGAGGTGGCCGAAGAGGGAGGGCAGAGAGGAGCAAAGCCACAGCGTATTGTAGAGATGGTGGTGTGCCAACGGATTCCTCGCCGTGAGTTTCCCAGTGGTGGTGGTGGTGACGGCTGGAAATGGGGCTTTGGGGCTGAACTGTGGCCCCGGCAGACGCAGAGTCAGCTCGTTTTCGTTATCAGCCTCGGTTTGTGAGTGTGTTGGTTCTAGACCCTTTCACAGCATGGTTATGGTTACATCTCTCCCCTCATGTTTCCTGACAACCAACAAGCCAACATTTTCACACTCTACACGAGAAAAACCCCTGGTTCGGGACCCAGTTGGAGGGGCAAGTGGGAAGAGTATTGGACGAGGAAGGCAACTTGGACATCCCCAGGTGGTCAGCGTCGAAAAACGTGCGATGGCGATTGCCTCCCGGAACATGGATCAACCTAGGCAGAGCACTCTCCTTTTTTTCGCCTCTTATATGGGCAAAGTACGAATACCCTCCACCACGTTATGGAACATGCTACGATGATTCGATCCTACCGTTACCGTTAGACGGGGTCCAAAATAGCTCTCCTATTGCGACTTAAGTCCTTGACTCGATCAGCAGCTTTTGTGCTGTGGCGAAATCGAATGACTAGTGGAAGTGCATCTGCGCCAGGGAAGGGGTGAGGCATCACCTGTAACTTTTTTGTTGTTGTTTGATAGTATACAAATCGATGTCGTTTGTCTCTCGGCATCAATATCGAACGTGATGCTTTGCCACTCGTGATGAATACCGGAATCCCCGCGTGGGCTTCCGATCATCCACGCCCTCACCCTCAGGGGCACACCCTCTTCTAGATAGATAATCTGACAACGCAGAGAGCGCCGTACACGACTAGCAGAACGTGCGTATGTACACTTTCGCCCTCTCTTGGTCTTGCTTGAGTCGTACAATGCTACCGTCACCCTGACCGGCACTTCTCTCTCCTTGACTCGAGAGTCTCGAATACATGGTGGGACGCGCTTGGCAAACTGGCCAACCCTTTCGCCCTACTCACTTGCGCTTACCCAGCGACTCGCGCACAATATTCCACACCCACCCATCATTAACGCCATGACTAGCGCCCTTGCCGCCGCCACTGCTACCACTGCTGCTCGCCTTCCCGCCCGCCTCAACGCTGTTGATACCAAACTGGCCGACGGGGCGGTAGTGATACCACCTCCGCTTCGCCATCAGCGCCGAGACGTCCTTGGTGTGCGTGACGATGCCGAGGCGCGTGGCCAAGGGCCCGCTGTCCGCGGCCACGGGGCGGAGCTCGGCGGCCGTGACGGCCGTGAGACGGGGACGGGTGGCGAGGCCCATTGTGCCGATCTCGAGTTGAGCTGTGGGCGGGAGGGTGCGGACGTAGCGTTCTAGGAGGGCGCGGGATTGGCGCGCGTAGGGGGGTAGGCGGAGGTAGATGTAGGTTACGAAGGGGGCCGAGGTGTAGGCTACGAAGAGGAAGGGGATGATGCCGCAGGCGGCCACTGGATCGGGTGTTAGTATATGTGCGATGGTTTATGGGATGTGAGAATGGTTTGGAAATATCAGATGCTGTGAGGTTTGTGTAGCAAAGGGGGAGGTTATGAGGAGGAGAATAGGGAATGATGGGATGGGAATGCAGTCAACGTGTGAGTGAGATATGGGGTGAGAAGCTTACATCCCGCTGCCTCAGTGAGCGTCTTATCTTCGGCGCGGACGTAGCTGGGAGCGGCTACGAAGCAGAAGAAGACGCATGAGAAGACGGTGGTGATTTTCCAAAAGGCCAGAAAGGCCGTCCGACCGGTGCCGGCGTGGTAGATGAGTAGTCGCTCAGGCAGTTCTAGTAGGTCACCGTTAGCTTTGTGTGCAGAGACAGTGAGATGAAGTATGGATGGGTCTACTACTCACGTGGGTTCCCGGCTCGGGGACCGGCAGAGCCTCCGGCGCCGGCTGAGTTCGGCTTCGGTGGTGTGGTGACGGCCCGGGGGGCCGTGGTCGGCGGCGGTGGTGCGGAGGCAAAGGGCCGTCTCAGGCTACATTGCTGGTTCTGAAGAAGAGATTTCCGGAGGGTAGGACGGAGAGCGCATTGGCGTATCGTGGGGAGGATTCGTATCGTTTGTGGGGGTTGCCGTATGAAGGCGAGCCGCAGTAGGGACATTGTGAGGTTGTCCAAAGGGAAAAGGGGAAGAGTGAGTGAGTGAGTGAAATGGGTGGATTAGGGAGAGTGAGAGGTTGATGGTGAGATGAGAATGCTGAGGTCGGATGAGGTCACTGCACGCATCTACCTTCCCTGGTACTAATTAATTTTTCCCCACGCGACGCGACTTGACTTAATCGGTATCCAGCGCCCGGATGGTGTACGACATTTCAACATCGCCGAAATTCATGAGGATAACAATTAATCGTCACGAGCTGCAACTGGCATGAATTATTGTTTCTTCTTATTTGATTGACCCCCGGACACAAGTTGGCTATGCTAGGTTAAATGATTGACGTGACTGAAGACCGCTACTATGAGAATCCAACCTGGAAACCCTGCCAGATTCCCTACTAGCTAATAGAGCACCAAAGAGCACCTCATGGTCTCAAAGCCGGTGATCCCGCGCCGAACCCCGCCGCCCTTCAAGTCAGACAATGTTCTTCTGAAGCCACTCCTTCCACTGGTCAAGCGTCCAGCCGGAGCTGATCTCGTTGTTCGGGTACCCGTCAAACAGCACCGTGGGGCTGACGTGCACGCCCGTCAACCGCGCGAGCTTGATGAGCACCTTGAAGTCGTTGGTCACGCCGTTGCCGACGTTGAGCGCGCCCTCGGCGTCGGGCTTGTCCGAGACGACGAGCAGGTCCAGCACCGCCTTCTCGTCGACGCCCACGGAGCCCGCGAGCTTGGCGAGGCGCTTGTACGTCTCGTTGCGCGGCTCGTTGACGACGTTGGCGTCAAAGTAGTCCTTTTGCGCCTTGAAGAGGGCGTCGCTGTACGCCCAGAACTTGGCGGGCGCGGTCTTGACGACGGCCACGGCGGACTCGTGAACCAAGGTGCTCGAGGGGTGCCAGGGCTGGACCTGCTGACGGAAGATGACCTCGAGGTTGGCGGCCCAGGCCGGGTTCGCGCGGATGGCGGGCACGACGGCGTTGTAAAATGTGTTGAATTGCTTAGCGGAGTAGGGGCAGACGTAGTCGAGGTAGAGCTCGATGGTGTGCGGCTGCGCGGGGACGCCGTCGGCCGAGGGCTTGGGTTCCGCTCCGAAGGTCAGCTTGTGAGCTGCGAATTTGGGCGGTACGGCCATCGCTGGTGATGTGTAGCGGAAACGGGATGTGGCGGTGGTGCTTATGTTGCGTTGGAGGCGGGCAGTGTTTCTACTGGTGAGTGGTATCGTCGAACTTGAGGATGGGATGAGTGGGAATAGAGACGACGCAAAGTTTGGGCGTCGAGTCAGGTTTAATAACACGTTCGAGGGGAGCTTCATGGAGCTTTGTCTGGGGGATATGAGATACCTACAGGTGGCCCAGCAGCAGCAATACGGATACCTTACCTGACAGAAGTGGTGACGAAAGGCCCCCATTGGAGCAGGCGGCGGGGGCGGGGTAGCTTCCGGGTGTTGATAGAGCTCCTTGTCCACAGAGTAGCTGCCAATAGGTGAGGTTTTGCAATCATGATGCAAGCGCACGAAAGCTTTGCTGACTGAGCAACTTCGAAACTCACCATTAGCATCACGCAATTCTAGAGAATTCATGCGCTATCGTTCTGCGCCTCTTGGGCCTCGGCTTGGCTAGTCCTCTAAGTCTATAATTTGGAATATACAGCTACGGCTCCGAGCTGCCTTTCGGAGTATAGACTGGCCCCTTTAACACCAAGTACCGAGCTCCGGGACTACCGGCCGGGCCCCTGCTGTCGGGTGCCCCACCGTGTGGCCCCGAACAATCTTGACAAATCCAACATCGGGGTCGGCTACACTCGACTACTAGTCACATACACCGGAGCAATCAACAAGCCGACTGTGACCTTTGACATGCTTCGTTTACACTCTCATCAGCGGAACGATGACAATCTTATGTTACAGTGTTCTTGGCCACGATGCCCCGCGCAAACTCGCCAAACGTTATGTGTTGCTCATTGTCCACCTCCTCGCCAAGGTTTGGCTGAGTGAAGACGGCCAACGTGTTACGCGCGACGCGTCCGTCGCTCACAGCTGCCCTGACTCCCCTTACGAAGTGCGGTACTGCCTTGAACTTGCCGCCCGTGATGCGCTCTAGAGCTTCGCCGGTCTGAAAAGCGATGCAGTCCCGCGGTATCTTGACCTGTACCGTCTCTCCGCCCCGCGATTCGATATACAGCCCTGCTGACGGATCGGGAGACGCGGCCAGCTCCGACAAAGGTGGTAGGCTTGCTATCGTATTGTTCGTGGCTTCAGGTACCACGGTAGAAGTCTCCTTCTCGTCGATGAACATGGCAGATGTCAGACCAGTCAGACATCTACCGAGTGTGTTAGTACCAGCAGCATCGTTGCTAGAAGGGGCCGACTAACCCATGATCTTTATGTCTCGAGCACCTTGTATCTATTAGTGGATTTCTGAAGGCGGTCACAATCCAGTGGCTCACCAGTCATCGTCGGCTGCACCAATCTTGGAAAGGGCCTCTTTCGTCTGCGGATAGTAGTGTAGAAGGCGCGCTTTGGTCGTGTTCGATGTACTGACAACGTGTTCAAGGTACCCTTTGGTATATCCTGGGATCTCAGACTCGGCAAATCTGTCGCATGCTCGGGCTACCAAAACGGCCGCATCAATGATGACTCGGCAAAGACTCTCCACACTCGGCTTGAACCCCGGAAGGACGTCTTGTGAAGGCCAGATATTGGGCGAGAGGTACTCGGGAAAGTTATTCTGGTTAAACTCGGCCGTCGGCTTAGCACAGTCGAGAGTTGCATCAACGTAGAATGCGCAGTTGGCATAGTATGAACCCTTGAATGTGTCAACTTGGCCATTCTTGAGTGTTTCTTTACCCAGGGACCAGCCCGTCAGGTATTTGGCCTTTTCATTCTCAAGCTTGACTGCTCATGTGTAAGCAGTGGTGGGCAGACGAGTAGCAATTTGCATCGTACCCAGCTCTTCCTCAGGGAGATTGCCCAAGTAAGATGCGTAAGATAAGGTCTGGTGCCTCAAATGAGTGAACTCTGGCGGCACATCCTTGACCACCAGAATACCTAGAGATTCGGGCCCAAAGGCCTCTTTCAGAGTCTCGAAGGGGATGTTGCCTATGATGTGAATTTCACATGTAAGCTGTTATCCGTTCCATCCTACGATCCTGCTCGACGGTACTCACCCTCCTTAAGGTCGTTGAGAGATACAACCACCGGTTGTGCGATCTGAACCATGGTGTTTATCTGAGTTGTAGAAGTTTAAAAAGGTAGCAACGAATGAAACAAGAAGGAATCCAGCCAGATCGTAGGCTCATCGACAAGCTTCCGCGATACCACCTGCCGGGTCGGTACCTAAAAGGTGGGGGAGGGGCACAGATAGCCCCTTATGTAATCACAACGTTCAAACGTCCCTCGAACTCTACTCATCACCATTCCCAGACTTCGAAAGGTCAAGCACGCACCCAAGATTGGCCAAAAAGAAAGCCTACCGGTCATCGCCGAAAACCGCATCAAGATAAAGCAACTTTCACCTTCCTCATCGAGTCCTGCGAGCGGAGGGGGGGACACGAAACACGAGCGATACAACGCGATGGTCAAGCCCCTGTCTTTCAAGGGCGACAAGAAGCCCAAGAAGAGAAAGCGCGCGGAAACCGAGGCCCAGGACCGCGACGCGCAGGGCGGGGAGGTTGCCCGCACCGGCGGAGCTTCCGCATCGACGGCGAACGCGGACGATGACGACGATAGCTGGGTGTCTGCCGATGCCGTGACGGATGTTGTCGGACCCGTCATGTTCGTCTTGCCGACGGAGCCCCCTACTGCTTTGGCGTGCGATGCCGTAGGCAAGATATTTACGCTTGGGATCGAGAATATCGTCGATGGCAACCCGTCTACGGCTGAGCCGCACGACGTGCGGCAGGTGTGGGTTGCGAACAGGATCACAGGGACGGAGCAGTTCAGGTTCAAGGGCCATCACGGACAGTAAGAATAATTTGCAGAAGGTTGTCGACGGGAGCCATGTATTAACGAGCCACAGATATCTGGGATGCGACAAGAACGGCGTGCTGTCAGCGACATCGGCGGCCGTCTCACCATTAGAGTCTTTCAACATCATTGCAACGGCGGATACCCCTGGCACATTCCAAGTCCAGACATTACGCGATACCTTCCTCTCCGTCAAGCCGCCGAAACCCAATGTTACCACCTCGGATGTCAGAGGCGACGAAGAGTCCATCACATTCAACACCACATGGCGTATCAGGATGCAAGCGAGATTCAAGCCGCGGCTCAAAGCGAACAAGGAAGAAAAGGCAAAGGAAAAGATTAGTCGCAAGGAGCTTGAACAAGCGGTTGGGCGCAGACTCGAGGACGACGAAGTCAGGAAGTTGAAGAGGGCGAGAAGGGAGGGCGATTACCACGAGCAGTTATTAATGTTGAAGGTCAAGGGAAAGCACGACAAGTATGGCTAACTCGGGGGATGAAGTTCTTTGGCAACACGAAAAGGGGGGAAAACATGATACCCACACGCAATGAGCAGCATAGCCGTAAAACATTTCACTTTCGTTCTCAAGTTCTATTTTTTTTTACTTTTGCTTTCTTCGATTCTCTGACCTACGTGGGCCTCCAAGCCTTGATGTTACCGTCTTCTCCAGCAGTGAAGACAACCTGTTCGTCATCGTAGAAGCAGAACGAGCGAACAATCTCCTCGCCGTGGCCCCCCGGCAGACCGACGCTGTTCGCCCTGTCGAAGCCCCAGCTGCCTTCGGCGGTACGGGACAGGTGTACCAACTCAAAGACTTGGCGGCTGGTTCACTTATTAGTTACGCTGCCAAACATTGGGAACAATTCGTCAACAAGACTTACTCTTGTGAGCCCGCACCGACGATAGCACCGCTTCCGTCAACCTTTGTCGTCATGTTGGCAATGTACTGGCAGCCCAGTGTCTCTCTTGCGTCGCCAAAGTCTACCAGAGCCGCGCCAGAGCCGCAATCCTCCGCGACGCTGTACACGGCCAGCTTCTCGTCGTGAGTCAGCACATAGACCTCGGTATTGCTGAGGAAGGAGGCGTGGTGGACAGAGCCCTGGTTCAACGTCTGGACAACGACCTCATCTTCGTCCGAAATTCGTGTGTCATAGACGTTGACGAGGCCATCGGTCGATCCCGAGAGGAGGATATGAGATTCTGAAGGGTGGAAGCGGAGTTCTGTGACGTCGTCACTGTGGACTTCGTCGTACTGGAGCCTCTGCTTCGGGCCGGCTCTGATATCCCTATGGATGTGTCAGGAGTTCTGTGTAATCGGGCGGGGGTGGGTAGTCGTGATCGAAGGAAGGCTTACCAGAGTAGCACGGATGCGGTGTGGTTCTGGAACTCTGTGCCTAGTGCTATTGTGTTGCTCCTAGGGTCGCAAGCCATAGACAAGATAGGCGACTGAGTAGCTGCACGTTGTGTTAGTGAGATTCGTTAGATATTTCAGAGCGAGAAAACATGCCCGCAAAATGAGCGACCTGCGGCTTTGACGCTTCCCTCATATCCCAGACTGAGACTTCCCCATTTTCTCCCGCCGTGCAAACGATAGAGTTTTGCCAGTCAAAAGTCCTAAGGCATGTCAAGTTGCCATGGTTGGTCTGGTATGACTTGATCGGACCCTGTCCCACTCGTGCAGGATCGAAGAGACTGAGTTTCTGATCTGATGAGATGGCGGACAGACCAGCGTTGAGGCGCTGAATGTCGAGAACATAGACATCGCCAAATCTATGGCCGTCAACGCAAGACAGGTTGTACATTTTCACGGCACCTTGACCTTTGGTGCATGGCTTTTATGAGCATGGACCCTTGACCAAAAACTGAGATTTGCAACTACTTACTGAGCGTCGATGGTACACAGCTTAGACAGCTCAAAATTTGACCTCTCCTCTATGGTCTTGACAAGTTTGAAGATTTCCGCCCGCCTTATCACTTTCACCCGGCTGAGATCGAAATTTTGCAGACTATGAAATTCGTAGAAACTTGAGCAAGAATCACCAGTGAGCGCATTGGAGGACTGGTCAATGAAGAAGCGTTTTTATGCAAACCCCCGCGTTATACAAGTACGCAGCATTCCGAACTAGTGCCCGCTTACAGCGGTATTGCGTACCTGGCGTCCGGCTGAGTTAGCGACCAATCAAGTCTCGTTTAGTGGACTATCCCTGTTCATTTGGAGCTCCCAATTCCATCTACGTGGACCTAAAGCCAGGACAGCTGTTCTGAAAGCATCGAGCTGCGTAATTGCTAGGAATACCAACAAACCCTCTCCCGACACCGCATATCTGTGAGATATAACATGTCGCGGAACTTTGCGCTCGAATTTGGCACATAATTACCGTTCGAGATGAGGCGTTCTTTGCTCTGGCTAGGCCGTAAGTTAAAAGTCACTGAATCCAAACGGCTGAACGTAAGCTGACATATCATCAAGTGCTGTTGCAGGCAGCAACTGTATTCTGTGTCGACGAGCAAAAGGTCTTGAACGACTACGAAAAGAATCACGACAGCAGCGAAGGAAAGCATGCGAAAGTACAAACGGATGTTATCCCGGAACACCACACCCCACCTCCGAGGCAGCCCGGTATGTACACTATTCGCGATGGTGGGGGGAATGTCGGTTAACAGAGCTGATTTCCCATAGGAGCGGACTTAGTCGAACTCGCAATCGAACAACTGATCAAGCTACCACCCCGAACCTATCCCAGACGTGAACGCCGCTATACTGTCGTCTATACCGTGCTCCGATATGCCCTCAAAGTCGTGCCCAGCCTGAAGGCTGCACCTGTTCCTGGTAGCCACCAAACACAGGAGACCAAGGTCACAGGTCCGTTGTTGGAGGCTGTGAAGCTGTTGGAACAGTCTGCTTTGAAAAACAACACGGACGCGCTGTACCTTCTCGCGGAGATGAACTTCTATGGCAACTACACCTACCCGAGAGACCTCAAGGTTGCTTTCGATCATTACCACACCCTCGCGACGGTCCACGGAAATCGCACGGCACAGTACATGATTGGTCTTTACTATGCAACTGGCATTGGCCATGTTGTTGCTCCCGATCAGGCAAAGGCGCTCCTCTACTACACTTTTGCAGCGATGCAGGGCGACACACGCGCGGAAATGGCCATTGGCTACCGCCATCACAGCGGCATTGCGACGCCGAAGAATTGCGAGGCTGCAAGCAAGTACTACAAGAGAGTTGCGGACAAGGCAATGGACTGGTACCGTTCGGGCCCACCCGGCGGCATGGCTTGGGTGGTTGAGTCGTATCGTATCGCTGATGAGCTTGGCGGTGTCTACGGCGAGGGTGCTAGCGCTTCGAGTGCCGGTATGAACGCCATCAAAGTGAGCCCCAACTCCGACGCCAATGCCGCCATTGATGATGTGATTGAGTACCTCGATCTCATGTCGCAAAAGGGCGACGCCAAGGCATCTTACAACCTTGGACGGATCTACTACGAGGGGCAGAGGGGTCTCGACCGGGATCTGGACCTTGCTCGCAAGTACTTCTTCACTGTAGCGAAACGGTACTGGCGTAAGGACGGCCGTATCATCGAAAACCATAAGCAGGGTATCGAGAAGACGGCGAGTAAGGCGGCTGGCTTCATTGGCCGCATGTACTTGCGTGGTGATGGTGTCGACCAGAGCTTTGATCAAGCAAAGAGATGGTTTGAGCGAGGCATCTCTCACGGAGATGCCCAATCCCAGCATGGACTCGGTCTCATGATGCTTTACGGGTACGGGACGCCAAAGAATGTTGCCATGGCCACCGACCTCTTTAAGGCGGCAGCGGAACAGGACTACGCGCCATCCCAGATCGAATTGGGCGTGCTCTACCTGGACCAGGGCGGCGCAGAGGACGTCCGCATTGCAAATAACTACTTCGAGCTTGCCGCCAGATACGGCCAGATCGAGGCTCACTACTACCTTGCTGAGATGGTATACAACGGCGTGGGCCGCGACAAGACGTGCGCGATGGCTTTGGGCTACTACAAAAACGTTGCCGAAAAGGCCGAGCCGCTTGTTTCCTCGTGGGCCGAGGCGAACCAAGCCTACTACTACGGTGACGAGGAGCTCGCTTTCTTGGAATACGTCATGGCAGCAGAGCAAGGATATGAGCGCGCGCAGAACAACGTCGCTTTCATTCTTGATCCTGTCCAGTCACGACTCCAAATACCCGACTGGCTGCCGCTTCCCGAGTGGTTCGGTCTTCAGCAGCATACCCGCCCCAACCTACTCAACAACCCTAGACTCGCCCTCATGTACTGGACGAGGTCATCCAGGCAGTCGAACGTGGACTCTCAGGTCAAGATGGGCGACTACTACTTCCACGGAATTGGTTCCGAGCCGGACGTCAACAAGGCCGTTCAGTGTTACACGGGCGCCTCGGACTACTCGCAGAGTGCCCAGGCCCTTTGGAACCTTGGTTGGATGCACGAAAATGGCATTGGCCTGACCCAAGACTTCCACTTGGCCAAGAGATACTACGACCAAGCGCTCGAGGTCAATGAGGAGGCTTATCTTCCTGTCACCTTGAGTCTACTGAAGCTCCGCCTCCGAAGCGCATGGAACACGTTCACTCACGGCCCGATTCACTCAATCCAAGACGATCCTAGTAAGTCAACACGGCGCATTCACCGAGATACACATCGGCTAACCACACACATTAGAACCAAAGAAGGACTGGTCACTCAGCGAGTGGATCGCCAACTTCCTTCAAGACGACCAACTGTTCTATGACGACCCGTACTATGAAGACATCTTTGATGATACTATCGGCGGTACGGGCCCAGACGGCGTGCCGCTGGAGGACGACGGCATCGCCGAGAGCCTCATCATCGTCTTCCTCGCCCTGTCCCTGGTGCTTCTTCTCTACTACAGGCAGCAGAGGCAGCAGCAGCATCGAAGGGAGGAGGAGGCGCAGAGACTTCAACAGCAGGGGCAGCAGGGTCAACCTGCCGCAGCGCAACAGCAAGATCAGGGCCTTTTCCCTCCACCTGGCAACCCGGAATGGAACAACTGGGTCGCTGGCGGTATTGGACATTGAAGCGTTTGTATGAATACGGATAAAAAGAAGTAGCTGTTGGAGATGGTGTGTCAGATGGGTGTTGCAAGGATTAGTTGGGGAGGACGATTAAAGCATATTCAGCGCCGGCGTTTGGGAATGTCCAGGGAATAGGACTTGTTTCCTCGAGACTCGTTGCAATTCAAGAAGTTTTTTGCTATAGTCTTTTTGCTAATTGGGTACGGTGACTTGCTCCTTTGCCAACACCGCTTAAGATGACGAACGAAAGGATACTGAAGCGCCCACTCCTGCAACCACTTGCCTATTCCTTACTACCGTGGGGTTTCCAACTTTCCTGGGTCGTATCAACGTATGAAATTGACATTTCTTCGAGAGCAATGAATTTCTAAGGCGAATGTTGATGCTAGGTTCTCACCTTCAGAGCATATGATTTGTCTTCCAGCTATCGTTTCTTCAGTTTCGTTTGCTGGGTCTACAGCAGTTGGCGTTTTGAAGATGCCTCAGGGGGCTTTGGCGTTGGACACATATCACCAACAGGAAGCTAAACCTTTTGTCGATGAAGCCATCGCTACGCTGAACTTGCCTATCACGTAGCACGAAACCATCATTCTCTTCTCGATTTCTCCGGAATGCGCGTGGGGAAGTGCGGGTATGCCTCGCGTAGTATGGGTAGATAAATTGGGTGACGCGGAGTCTACGAAGATTCTTGATCAACAACATCCAGCTCCGCAAGATCCCTCCCCCTTGTGGAAGACTTTTATCGCGTCTCGGGTCTACAGAGCTCAAAGACATTGTGTACGGTTGGATATATGCGTTGGTCGGAAGGGGAGTCTGGACTTTCGATGCAGTTTCGTAACCATCTTCTCCACTCCCTATCTCAGGCCTTTTCCTTGAGGAAGGTTGAGGTTCACCCACGTTTAGAGATTATCATCAACTTCCAGTTTTCCATGAAGAGAGAATGGAGACTAGATACTGATAAGCTTCTATCGAAGGCCTTTATATGGAGCATGGAGGTCTGCTCAAGCTAAATGTGCTCCAACTTACGTCCTCTTACCATATAAACATCATCGAAATTCCCTGTACGTAGCTTAGTTCAAATCCGTTGTGAGGCGCTCATTCTTGGACGCCTTCAGGAAGGCCCCAAAGGTATGGCAGAGTGGACACACGTAGAGACCAGAGGAAATTGGGGAATTTTGACGATACGTTGCGAGAGCACCCGAGTTGAATCATGAGTTTGTCTACGAAATCCTTCTATCATGATTTGACGGCACAAACGGTCAGCTGGGTCATCATCATGGGCGTTATTTAAACCAACGAAGGCCATATAGAGTTCTCCGGGTACGGGAGGTTGTATCATGAACAAGGCAATTTGGACCAGGTTCAGGGCGACCTCGATGATAATACCACGGAAACATTTCTCACTTCACAACGACACGGTGCATTGTGTTACGTGGATGTTGGTAATCGTAGGAAAAACCCCGGCTTGGTATGAAGCCCATTGTTGGGGAGATCATAAAGAAAAAATCCAAAAAGGCCAAACAGCTCCCGACTCGCCTGTTGCTGCTGCTGTTGGTGTTGTGTAAAGTTTTTCCTTCGCCGGACGGGGGTGCTCGACTCGGGGGTGCCGCACTGCCGTCGATCGTTGCAGGCGGATCCGGAGGATCAGATCATCATCGAAGCCACACTTCAGCGCGCGTTGGTGGGAATCAATTGTCAAATCACACATACATACGATGCACA